CCAGTCAAAATCTCACCGATCTGCCTCTGGGTCTCTTCCTGGTAGGGCAGCAAGGCAGACCCAGAAAGGAAATGCAGACAGCAAAGCAGCGGGCACAAAACACCAGCTGGATGAGACAAGTCACGATTAAAGGCACCCAAAGGATCAGAGTCGTACTCTGGGGAGGGAGAAGGTGAAGATGAGCTGTGGGGAAATACCAGCTGGACCATTCAGAGAACAATATCTGTAAAGGTGCTCTGCAGTCTGACATAAAATGGGGAAACTGTATAGATAATAATGTGATACAGAAGTGAACGTGTTCTCAGATTGCAGAGCAGGGCTGCAAACCAAAAAACTTCTGGTTTGCAGCCCTGCTGTGGGAATTTCAGTTCGCACAGGAGAGGCTGGATAAAATATGCAGAGCAGAGAGTATCAGCATGAAATGCTACAGAGGGAATTCAAAGAAATAGAGATGCCTTTTGTTGTTGGGCACACTGACTCGCAGACTACAAAGAGAATAAAAAAGTGCACCGCTCAAAATTTGGAGCTCTCTTTGTAAATCATGATGAAATATGCAGGAAGCACAGATCACAAGGCTTGCATAACCATCATTACTGCTTCTAAGCATGCATGTGTGCCAGAAAAGTCCAAAACACACTCTCAGGTGATGTAATGTACCCTCCGGCAGTCATATTGGAGGCCGCTAGCTAATACACAGCACTGAGTGAACAGCATGGTCTGCAGTCTCAATAGACTAAGACAAAACTTGATGCTCTGGGGTCCAGCTTAAATTTGGTACATCGCAAACTTTATGTGGCTATAAAACGAGGAAGAAACACACCAAAGATGATAATCCAATCCTCATTCCAGAAAGAAAGCAGAAGAACTTGGGTTCATATCTTACAACTTGTCTAAATTTCAGATAAGTATTGCTCAAGTTTTGTTTCAAAGCTCTCTGTTGACTTATTGAACCCATTTTCTCTCTTTTTAATAAGCTTTGATGGTAGCTACTTACTATATTAACAAAAGTATTGAGCCACACCTCTTAAGATTTGAATTCAGGTGTTTTTAGTCCCATTGCCACTGGGGAATAAAACGAAGCACCCAGTCATGCAGTCTGTCTTTCCAAGTCTTTGAGGGTCGTTCTCAAGAGGTCAGAGAATGGTACTGTAATAGGATGGCACTGCTGCAGCAGGAGAGTTTGTCTTCCCTCCTAGATATTTCAGGATCACCTGCAAGTGGTATGATTGCACAGCAACGCAGCCGCAAAGTGTCAGCAGACAAAGATGGAGAGCGAGGGTCACTAAATACTAAATACAGACTCAGTAAAACTGTGTGCCAGGAGCTTCAGTAGGAATCCTATTATTACGCTTTAAATAATGTACTCAGGTTTGCAATAATTCCCTCACTTTTCCTTTTAGCTTCATTGCCTTCTACCACTCCCGTTCACGTCCTGTCAGACTGTGGCAGGTTCACACTGATTTATTTATTCAGAGGAATTCTAAATAAAACACGAAGAAATCCACATAATTAACAAGACAAGTTTCTTCTCTTTGCTTAAATTCTAATAAATGTACTTGTTATTAATTGTTTTTAGGTCTATGAGCAATTGTAATCTCAATATTGAACAAAATAATTCTGTATATACAGTGGTCTCTCATTTATCGCAGGAGTTACTTTCTAAAAATAACCGGTGATAGGTGAAATCGGCAAAGTAGCCAACCTTATATTGTTTTTTTTACAATTATTATAGATGTTTTAAGGCTGTAAAATCCCTCACTGCACACTTTATACACTTTTGTCAGACAGGCATGAACATTTTCACACTTTTCACTCTTGTTTAAACACTCTCAAAGTTCAAACCTTCGTAGAAAAATAAGTCCAGTATTATAGAATGAAACCAAAGGCACCCATGGTTTCCTTTGACGGTGCAAAACATTTCATCGACATTGTTGTGTTTGTCGGGGAGAAAACTTACATACTGTACAGCACTTCAGACTCACGCTGCTAGCGATGGAAGATTTATGTAAATTTCACAAGCTGAATGAAAAGTGGGACCACTGTAATGGAATAACAAGCAGCACTAGTGCATTTTTGGCTTCTTCAGCTATACTATAATGTGAAAACACTTGTGTTATTTAAAGCAGAGTGAATGTTAGGGTTTTAAGGTAGTACGTCTGAGTTAGTCGTTGCTTTAACTGTCTTTTGTGATCTTCAGGATGATTTGCCGTGTTCTCATCCCAATCATCGGGTGTAGGGCACTAAATAGAGTAAATAAAAGCACGGCCCACAGGTGGTTACAATCATGGTTAAATGACTTACACAGATGTATTGATTCAAACGGAAACATATCTGTTCACCCAGAGAAACGATGTAGAAACGAGGCATAATATGCTACCCTGTGATTACCACTCTCTATCACGATGAGTGACGATCTGCACTGGAGACACGACTGCACGATGGCAGTCTCCTTTTCAATATTTAGACAAGTGAAGCCCTCCCACTCACTGAGCCACAAAATTGATTGAAAGAATACAAACACGGCGGCGGTGGGGACCGTCTGCCCAGGGCCGTGTCTGTGCTACTTACAAATGATAACCTACACCGCGTGCAGCAGCTGTGCCATTAACCCCCCCGTGCCAAGAATAAATCCACTCTAAGATGAAGGTGACTGATGCAACAAATTGTCAACTACATTGGGTGTTAAAACGCCAAAGTGTTGCTGATGTGTGGATGTTTCCATGAGGCTTAGTGCGTCTGACAGTGTAACAGCGTCTGGACGCAGCCCGGAGCTAGCTGACGGGGTCAGGTCAGCGTTTGTGCCACCAGTCCGTCAGCCGCACCAGCGCGACAGCCTGAGTGACAGAGAAGACAGACACCCAGCCTCCCACTCCTTCTCCCACACCCTTATGTACACACACACACACACAGTACAAAAGGGAATGCTGCCACCATGATGCACAGCCTCTGTTGTGATTATGTCACAACAGTCAGCTGTTCAAAGAGCCATCTGCTGCAGAAAAGGTCACAGGTCACGCCTTGATCTCAGCATCTGTGGCGCGCACACTAATGCACTCACGTAGATGCGTGTGGGGTCAAAGGGACACTCGTTGGTGACGCTGGAGTAGCCGGTGGCGTCGGGGAAGCGGCAGAAAGTCATGAGGCTCCGCCCACCGTGAACAATGGCCCTCACCACGGATACAAAAAGGCCAATGGCTGAAGCCGCTGCCGTGAAAGACGCAACCAGACTCACTGTGAAGAGAGACCACGTCTAGGGGAAAGGAAGAGAGAAGCACAGCTTAGATGATCAGGAAGGAAAAATTTTCCCAGCTGGGAAACTGGGGCATCTCCAGCTGGAAATAGACTTTTAAAAAAAAGAAAAGAAAAAGAAGGCAAAAGAGAAACAAACATTAGTAGAGCTGAGATTATTCACAGCAGCCGCTCTGACATGTTAGAGCAACAAAAGCACAGGTGTATTAATGATTCTGGTTCCACTTCCACTCCTGCTACTGTGCGTGCTGATTCACTGCCATAGACTCCTCATCCTCCCCACCCACAACAAGAAGTTTACAATACAAACAGGGTTAGTTAAGATAGTAAAAGCAAGCAAAAGCAGGAGCAGGATTTTGACTGATGCTCATAAGGAAATATGCAAAGAAAAGCAAGACTAACTCGACAAAAACAAACAAAACAGTTTCATATTTAACAACCTCACTTCAACCAGGGGGTGCAGTGTGGAGTTTGCATGTTCTCCCTGTGTCTGTGGGCTCTCTCCAGTTATACTGGCTTCCTCCCACAGTCCAAACACACAAATGGGGTTAGGTAAATTGACCATAGGTATGAATGTGAGTATGAATGGTTGTCTGTCTCTCTTTGTTAGCTCTGTGGTGGACTGGCGTCCTCTGCCTCTATGATATGATCCAGCTGCCTCCGTGACCCTTAATTGGATAAGCAGAGGAAAATGGATGGATGGCTGGACTTTAACCATGCTTTTGATTAAGTAGACTTTAAATTGTTGTGTCCCTCCATTTATCGCAATTTGTCATTACGCAGCCTATCAGATTTCATATACCAAGATAAGTGTTCTTGTGAAAAGAACTCCTGTGTCTGAATATTGTGTTTCTGTCTTCAAAGAGTTGAGCTCCCTCAACACATGAAAAAAAAAACCTAAATTACAAAAAAACTAAACAAAAACCCCAAAAGAAATTGGTTTGTCTCTGCTTGGACATGTTCTCTCGCCTTGCTTGTCCTGACTGCACTGCCATAACCTAGCATAGCGTTGCATAGCGTAGCGTAGCGTAGCATAGCGTAGCATAGCATAATAGGCTCTCAAAACACATTATGATTTGAATGTTGATGGCTGCACAGTAAAAGCTACAGATAGCAGCCTTAGGCTCACACAGGATTAGAGAGCGTTAAAAGACTGCCTGGCAACCATTGGTTGTTATTAAAAAAAAATGTTACCCAATCTGTTGCAAGTACTTGCTAGAGGCTGCTGGCAGTTGCTGTGAAATCGACTGCTAAAGCCCCAATCATGCAGGCTTAAAAACCTGCAATGCCTTCTGCTAGCCCCTAGTTGCTAGGGAAAAATTTATATTCCCTAAATTGTTTGCAAGTGGTTGCTGGAGGTTGTTAGCTGCTGCTAGGTGGAATTAGTTGTAAGAACTTATACAGCTGTGCTGACAACCTCCTTGCAATTGCTTTTGTTGCTAAAAACATTGCTGTGGTTGCCTGTTGTTTGTATGTTGCTCCTTTTGCCAAGTGTTGGTTTCAGAGGTTGGGGGGTTGCTGCAGCACTTCCTCTGTGACCAATCACAACAAACAACCTCCAACAACCACTCACCAACCAGTCGGCAATTAAGATTTTTTTGCTGACCGGTCTCTAGGTCTGTGTGATTACGGGCTTAGCAATCCATCCATTTTCTACCAATTGTTCAGGGCCGGTTGGCGAGGACAGCTTGATGCCAACAGAATCACATCATCTACAAAAAGCAGAGATGAGATTCTGAGGCCACTAAAGTGAAAGCCTACTGCCACCTGGCTACACCTAAAACCTATGTCCATAATATCTGAAAAGAATGAAAAGAATCTGTGACAAAGGGCAGGCGTAGCAAAGTCCGACACCCACTGGGAACAAGTCTGGGTTATTGTCGGTAGTTTCGATCAAGCTCCTGCTGTAGATCTACAGCAAACACCCCATAGCCTGTAGCACCCCCAACAGGACACTCGGAGGGATGCGGCTGAATGCCTTCTCCAAGTCCACAAAACACAAGTAGACTGTGGGTTATAAATTTGAAATGAAAATTCTGATTTGATCACAATAAAAATCTTGGGTTAAAAACAATTTTAAATGGGAACTTAAGTCCAATTTAACCATGAACACAAACATTGCAGTTTATTTCCTGATGTTTTATGAATGGTGTTTCCTAAGTACAGTCATCGCCTGTTCTAAGGAACTACTTATAATTTGTTTTAAAAAAGAAAAAAATAATAGTAATCCATTCAGGATGTAGCACGCCTCTTGGACAATGCAACAGGAATAAGCTCCAGCCTCCATGCATGATAAGAAGATAAGAAAATAGACTGATTATGCAAGCCTTAGCTATACTTGTATTACAAATGAATGATGCACGATAATGAATGATACGCTGGGAGGAGAAACCTATCCCAAGTTTACAGAAGGTGAGATGCAGCTAATCAGCGTGCCCAGATATTTAAAGTCAATTTGCGAAGATGACTGAGCTGTTAAATCAAAACCCGATAAGGCCAATAAAAAGAAATTAAAAAAATAACACCTACAGCAGCCAGCACATGTAAGAAAGGCCCGTGTTCACTCATCACTTGAAGTGGATGACTGAGTTACATAACAAGATGTAATGGACTCAAACTGCCGCCTCACAGCCTGCTTCACAGAGGCACTCGCTAACAAAGGAAACCGGAGTGGTTTATCAAGCTACAGCTCACTCATGAGCAAGCTGCCTCGTCAGTCCCGTCTGAGCAGCCCGACAGCTAACTGAATAAACAGAGAGGAGATGCAGGGAGTGAGAGGGGGAAAAAACCCAGAAACACAGGCGCGCGCGCACGCGCGCGCACACACACACACACACACAAATCCAGCTCTGCAGGGCTGAATTCAGACACCTGAGGCAATGTGCAGGCTTTTATTTAAGTCACGACAGAGAGAAAAAGGTGGGGAAGCTGTAAAATATCAAAGCAGAAGCAGGCGAGCAGAGTGCTGGAGTGCTGTGAAGGTACCGCTCTGGCACAGTAATGTTAGATCAATAAGAAAAGCAAAGGAGAAAAGGTGGATAACACAAGGAGAAAGGCACCTACTCTTCAGATATTGAGATTAAAAAGCACACTGCAGAGATACTAACCAGGGATTTACTCTTCTTGTTTTTAGAGAGGACGATAGCCAGAATACCAGCAACAACTCCCTGCGGAGAAAACACAGATGACATTTAAAAAAAACAAAAAAACAAAAACAGGGAACGCACTGCAAGCAATTCAAACACATCTTTAAGTGCCTCTGTATTTTTGAAAGATATCTTTAGGAGACCTGAGGAGCAGCATTTTCACAGTGTGGCTCAAACTAAGTGAAAACCACTCAGATTCCTACACAAGCCACATTTTTCAGAGAGAGATTAAACATTATTCTAGAGTTCTTTATACAGTAAAAATGGTTTTAATGAACTTTAACACTGACCTATTTTCACATACAAACAAATGTGCTGCATGTCATTCTCAGAATTGCTTCCTCATAGCAGCAAGGAGAATCATTTATGGCACAAACCCAAAGAACAGCCAGAAGTGAACCCTGTCTTAAAATGTGGTCACATCTTACAGTAGAGTCATTGTGACTTTGTTTCATTCTTATCTGTAACGAGCACATCACATCAATCCCCTACACGTGAATGACATCAGCAGCTTTTAACTAGAGTTGGGGTAGTCCAATTAACCAAAGGCCGGAGCTGCAGATTAGAAACGAAAAGTCAACTTAAGCCTGTGATATTTGTCCAGAGATGGCAAAAGTGAGCACATTCATCACTAAAGCAGACATACAGATGCTTGTGGTAACAAGTTCTTTGGTAAATGTTAATGTACTGATTCAATTTATTAACTCAAGTAAGAGAGAAAAGGCAGAAAGTAAAAAGTAACTCTTTGGATATTTCTACCAGCTTTTTGAACCTCCCACAAACGTGAATGCAAACCTTATCATTTTAAAATTTGAATTCCGATAACCATCTGTTATTTGGAAGCAAAGTGACATTCAGCAGGTGAGGGCAGCGTAAAAGCCCGTCTTATCTGTCTTACATCTTTCTCCATCTCTGATTGAGCGTATCTGGCCATATCCCTGTGTTGGTGTTAATCATGAATTATGATAATAATGTTGTTCCAGGAAAAACATTGCAATTGATTGATCACATTGTGTCATGACTTTGGAATTTGGAGAAAAAGAAAAAAAATGCCTTTGTTTATAAGAAACTCTCTTCTGGAAAAAATGTAAGCATGTCAAGTGATTCCTTTATTAAGTTATATTATATAATGTGTATATTATCAATATTATCAGCTTTGCTGTTACTCCAAATTTGCGCTACTCATGCTGGTTATCTAGCAATAGTTTTTAAAAGCATTAGCTAACTTCCTGGCTAATGCTAACTGATTCCTCAGACAACATCATTGGTCAGCTGGAATCTTGATCCTGGA